CCCACACACACACACACAAGTATTGAGTTCCAGTTTCATTTCAAGGGGAGAGATGGATTTCCACAGCTTTACAAGGAGAGAACTACAAGCTCTTTGCAAGAAGAACAAAATTCCAGCTAACCTTACCAATGTCGCCATGGCCGACGCTCTTCAGTCCCTCGAGTTTGTAAGTTTCTTCTTTCAATTAAAAAGCTATATTTCCTGTATTGTGAAATTGTTTAATTTGTTTTAAAATGTAAATAAGATAGGCAGCATTTCAGTTTCATTTCTGAATGAGCGAAAGGAATATTAGTAGTATCTCTTTTAATCTGCAAAATGATTTTTATTTCCAGCTTATATTTTGGGGCTTTAACCCTTGATATTAGATTGAATCTGAGATTGTTAGGAAGCTCCAGTATGTTGATTTAACAATTCTGGGATTAATTATTGATTTAATTTAGTTAATATTTATTTATTAATTTAATCTGCAAATGATTTATTGATCTCTAATTTCTATGTTAACACTCCTTCATGTTTGTTTGATTGTGCGAACCACCTAATCTAAAAGCTGAAACTATTGGAAACATTTTTTTAAATATTTGCATATGTGCGCAACACCAATGACTGTTAAGTTACGATAGTGGAATGGATTAAGGCCTTAGGTTGGTTCTTAAGTGTTTTGTGCAACTTTCTATTGGAGCAGCAGAGGGTATTTAGGATTTGAATTTTATGAGTTCGAGTTCAAAATTCTACCACAACCCATTTGATTTGCTTGGTTCGCAATCTATGAATTGTATGTCGTATTTAGTGGATTCTTAAATACTACAAGGTTTGAGCTAAAGCTAATGGATTCAGATGAACACTTAACTTATTAGTTAGGTCCGGCCCTGTGGAGCAGTATGGCTAAATCTACTCTTCTCCATGCCCCAAACCATAAACTTTTTTAATTATGATTCTATGTTCCCAAAATTAGTGCCCAAGTTGTGCATGATTAGTACTTCCACAGTTGGGTACCTATAGCTGCTTATAACATGTTTATGTAGTTGTATGTTGACATTGTACAATAGAAAGGAAATTTAGTATTGTTTTTATGTACAGGTTGATAGTATTGAAGAAATCTTGAGTTCATGTGAATCTGAAACTGCGAACTCATCCATGGAGTCTCCTGGGAACTCAGAAATAGTAACAAGTGTACCTCGGACTTGTCGTCGAGCTACACAACGAAAAGCAATCAAACATGACCCAGAAACTTTGCAGACCTTGACTAGGAGTCGCTGCATAACGAGAGGAAAGGTGGTCAGAGATGTAGATGAAGCCAAGAACGACATGCATGAGACTCCTGCATTGCCGACTACCAGAAGAAGGGCTGCAGCAACTTCAGTTCGTGCTAAATTGGAATCCGCAATGAAGGAATGTGAACCAAAAGAAAAAATTGGGGATTGGATTCAGGGAGAAATGAAAGATGTGCCAAAGACACCAGCAGTTCTAACTAGCCAAAGAAAAGAATTGAAGGCAAGTTCAGTTAGGCAAGTGTACAGTACTCGTCGATCAGCAAGGATAGCTGGGAAACCAATGCATGAGAGCACACAAGAGAATGAAATGTCAGGAACCCTTACATTTGATGCTTTTACTGAAGAAACTGAGGAAAATTTGGAGGTGGATTCTGAGCAGTATTCTATTCACAAGAATGAAGAAGTAGACAAAAATGGTAATGTCCGCAAGCACAAGTAATCCTTGACCTTTTTCTTTTCCTGAACATTACTTGGTGTCTGAGTTCTGACTGACAACTACAGTACATGTATTGAATTGAAAACGTTAGAAAGTTTGGAGATCAATAATGAATCAGATATTGTATCAGGTCAATATTCAAATACCTTGGTACAAAATGAAATAGAAACTGAAGATGTTCTTCAACAAGAAAGTAACAATAACCTGGTTGTTGTGTTAGATACAAAAGCAGAAGAAGGCTCAGAGGAAGTACCACTTGGTCACAACAACAATGGTATGTATTGCTCTGTTCTCAGTGTATGTTGTTGTTTGCTCCAGTCTTCTGCAATACTATTTATATGAATTAAATGGTTTTGTTGTCTATTTATTTTGATTGCTTATGTGCTCAATTGGTAGAAAGATTCAAGAAAGCGGTATATATTCTTCTTCCGTCTACTTTTTGTATCAATTGTCTTATCACCATCTCTGTTGTATAGACAATCTTATTTTACTTAGTACAGTGAATTGTTTCGTGCTTTGTGGTAATTAAACAAAATTGTTTCTCGGATCTGAAGATGTGCATATGTCAAAAACAGAGGAACTTGAGAATGGAAAAGAAATGGCATCTGAAGGAATTCAGTCTTTGAATGATGTTTCAGGAGCTAAAATAGAAGTTTTTGGTGAAGAATCCATGGAGGAATCTGAAATTGATCAAGCTCAGGCTAAAACTGAAAAAGATTTTCAGAACAAAAGCCAGAACTTGGGTGAAGATACCAAGAGAAGTTCCGATATCACTAATGTGATCCTGATGAAGCAGCCGCATGAAGAGGACATGCCCCATTGTGATGATACATCTGACTTTGTGGCAGAAAATGATCGGGAGGAGGAAGATCACTTAAATCATACTGATGTTGCAGGAGGGCAAAAGTTGATGGGAGAACCTGCAAGTGTCAATCGAGACACTAACATAGATTTCCATGAGGTGAGTTCGTTGGGGCAATTCAACGGTGAGGGGGAGGCTAAGGTGAGTGGAAGTCAGCAGTGTTTGAAAGATGCTTCCGAAGCTAACATGGAAGATGCTGGAGAAGAAGAACCCATGGAAGAATATGAAGTTGATCATGCTGAAGCTAATGTGGATAGTGCAGCTCATGGTCTGGAAGTTGCAGAAGAAGAAGAAGAACCCATGGAAGAATCTGAAGTTGATTATGCTGAGGCTAATGTGGATAATGCAGCTCATGGTCTTCCACCCTTGGCTTCTCTCATACCTGATGATGCTGCCCAGGAAGGTGAGTGCGAGGTTAAGGTGAGAGGAAGTCAGCAGTGTTTACATGTTTCAGAAGTAGTTGCTGGAGAAGAACCTATGGAAGAATCTGAAATTGATCATGCTGCAATTAATGTGGATATTGCTGCTCATGCTCTTCCTCCCCAAGCTTCTCTCATACCTAATGCTATCCCAGAACCAGTCTACAAAGGCATTGCTGGTAATGACAGTAAGCAATCTTTGCAAGATTTAAGCTTGAGGAAGCTTACAAAGATGTTGAAAGAGCGTCACAAAAGATCCTAGTGGAAAGGAGGTTGCTAAAATCAAGTATGAGAACAACATCAACTGATATTCTTTTTAATTTGTGTGTTCCTTTCTTAAAAGGTTGTTGATGTTCAAATATTTGTGAAGACAATTAAAGTGTTTTTTTCATTCACAGGCGCCAAGCTCGAGATCAGCCTTGCAAACACTTCCAGAAAATTATTTGATCAGTGACACTGAAAATTAAACGCTTATAAAAGGCAGACCACTCCACCTGCCAGTGAATGAACTTTGAGCGCGATGTTGGATCAGCCTTGCAAACCTTCTTGGTTTGCTACTCCAGAGATATATCAAAATTTTGATCGCTCTTGTTTTTGTATTCCTAGAGTTTTTCAAACTTATATATGGAAAGTAAAACTATTCATACATATTGCTCTTTGTCAATCTCTCAACTGCTTACTTATGATTGATCATAACCAGCAAAATATCTATGAAACTAGTGTGAAGGAGGTGATATAACTTAAAGTGCACCCTCTTAACAGTTGCAATCTTTCTTTGAAGGAAGATTGAATCCCCTATTCAAACTTGATAAGTTGTTTCTCCAGATGAGTTAAACACTTGACATATCCGTTGACGTTGCCTTTCTTCTTAAGTTCGACTATTGACCCAGTAAAGGGTGGTCGGCAGAAATCAAAGAAACTAAATGTTGGGTGTGACATTGCTGAAAAAAACTTTTCTTTTACGCACTTCTCAATATTCGTCAAGTAAAACCGTCACCCAAAATCACATGAAGCAGAGAAGATGAAAATCACAAGTTAACAAATGCAATCCTAAAACAAACTCTCGACAAGGTTCAATAAACTCATCGCCAAAGGCGAAAAGCATAGAAAAGAAACCATGTCAAATAAGTTGAAAATGTAAAAGATTTATTAACATGTCAAAGCGCTTCCAGCCGTCACCTAGCGTCAAGATTTAAACGCTCTTCAGGTGGTCCTTTCATAAAATATATTCCGCCAAAACAACTTAAGCAAGAGCTAGATTAGGAAGTGTTAATATTGACTTCAGCACATGCGTCTTTTATGAAAGCATAACAGGATGACAAACTATGAATGTAGTAGATAAACTATGAATGTAGTAGATAAACTATTCAACAATACACGAGAAGCAAGAACTAGAATGATATCAACATCTAAAGGCACAAATCTTTTAGGGAGCAGGGTGGATAAATTTGGCATGCTTGTAAGGAAGATCAGTAATCACTCATTTCATGTGGAGTATACATACTGAAAATACAAAAGGTAGGCATCAAAAGATACATTTCTAGTGTACGGGAAAGATCAATTGCAAGGTCCGTATTTCCGCATACAACAGAACCAAAAATCAAGCTTCACCTAGGCCAGGAATCAAGTGCCTATTGTACTCCACTGCATCAGAAGCACAGACCCAAAAGTAAAGATTGTCAATGAGAGTTCAGGTGTTTCAATTTACAGACGACAGGGTATTCAGTTTTGTCCCTCAAAAGGGGGGTTCTTCTTTTGTAAGCCTGCAAAAGCATATGAAAGTTAGATTAGCAGGTTATGGATGCCAGCAACACCCTTGAAGACATTCAGGCTAAGTGCAGACCTGATCAATCAGAAGGATGAAGTGCCCACTGAAGAGTACCCAGCGGCCTTGAGATCTTTTAGAGTACTCGATAACCAGTCCAGTCCCTCATATAGGCCATCCCCACGAAGAGCACATGTGCCTTGAAGATGCCATCTTCGGTTTTTTAGATCATAGAGACCAAGGCCTTCACACACTTCCATTGGGGTCATTGCTCCTTTCTGGACCAAAATTTGGAGAAAAAGAAAAGTTCAAGATGATAAAACATCTATGTGGCACAAGTGAAGAAGATGGATAGAGGGGTGTGTACACACACACACATACATAGACTAGGAGAGACTTGAAGAGATTCGCCTGATTTCCCCAAGTTTTTTTAGATAGAAAACTGAATTATGGGCAAAACCCCCTCCAATTTAATGAAATGAGAAGGATTAAAAGTGGATGCTTATCCACCCAACAAAAAAAAGAAACGGAAGAAGAGAGAATTAAAGGTGAATGACAGCCATCCTTCTTTTACTTCACCTCCTACCATACACCTTTTTACCCAGCAGTCATAATGCAACAGAAAAGCGACATAAGCAGAAACCACAAGCATAATAAAACTGGCATGCAGATTATGTGTGAGATGGAAAGAGAAAGTGAGCGGTGTGAGTGGCTCCGTGGTGGAAAGATGCGTTGAGATGGTTCGAACATGTGAAGAGGAGATGCACAAATGCCCCAGTGAGGAGGGGTGAGAGGTTAGCTATGGTGGCCAAGAAGAGGTAGAGGAAGGCCGAAGAAGTGCGCGGCACATCTTCAGCTTACCGAGGACATGACTCTCGATAGGAAGGTGTGGAGATTGAGGATTAGGGTAATAAGTTAATAAGTAGTCGAGCATAAATATTTTTCGTACCTATATTGTTTTTCTATACCTGTAGTACTAGTGTATTCTCGTATTTCATATTCTTAGATTTCTAATACTACCTAATGTTTTCTTTTGCTTCGGTTATCATTTTTCCGGTTGTGGTTACTGCTTCTCTTTACATGGATTCTCCTTTGCTGTATTTCCTTATCTAAACTATTGTGATTATGTTTTTCTTGAGTCGAGGGTCTATCGGAACCAGTCTCTCTACCTTCATAAGGTAGTGGTAAGGTTTGCGTATACAGCTCCCCCTCCCTCCTCCC